TAGAGTTCTCAGTAGATCCGATAGAAGTCCTCCGGAGTCGAGCAAATACCTCTTCTAAAGAGGGGAGAGCTGATCCTCCTAGTATCTGAGCCTATATTGGTTCATATTCAGATTTCAGTCCCACCAAAAATCTAGTCACATCAAGTTGTTCTCTTTGTTGTTGCTGAATCTTGACATCAGAAGTGAGAGGGTGATAGACATTCAACTCATTACATATGTTTCTCATACTGGCATAGTACTCCTCAAGACTTTGATTGCCCTGTTGCAGATTAAAGTACTCCTGAAACAACTGATACACTTTGGTTGTATTGTCCTGACCCGAATACAATTTCTTCGCATGGTCCCACACATCTTTGGCAGTGTCAAGAAACATGAAGTTCACACTAATCCTGGGTTCCATACTATTCCATAACCATGTGATGATCTAAGCATCCTCTTGCTCCCAGTCTTCATACTCGTGAGAGTTAGTGGAGGGTTTCTCCTCTCTTATATGTTTCACCTTCTTCTTTGCCTTTAGAAAGACTTTGATGGATTTAGCCCAAGGCACATAATTCTCTCCATTTAGTTTAATGGAGGTCATCTGAACATTCAGGTAGTCTGTAGGCACCATCACATTTGGTTTACAATCACTGTTATCTCCCATTTTGTTATCACCGATTCTGCACACTGCACACGACTAGATCACACTGATTTCAGCACTTGTTGCTGAAAAGTGTACTCTTTACACCACAAACCCTACTCCTAYRGCTACCTGAAATCTCACCACTATATGATCACAACTCTTCCTTCGAAATACACAAAAACAGCATAAACCCTAGCACACTACTGTCTGAAACCCCAGCATATGATCTGAAACATACTTCTTATTTGATCCACAACAGAAATCATGCACAGAAATCTCTTACCTTATCACTGAAAGAACAACCACACGTGCAGAAAATCAGTCCACACAAGACTGCCATTGCACCACACAGATCGGCCCTCTTCTCTTCATCGATTAGGGGAGGGCGATCTTAGAAACCACAACAACCGACCACACTAGACACGACTGGAGGCATAGAAACCTCCAAGGGGAGAGGGCGATCACTCCTTTTCAGCCCTTTCCCTTATCTCCAGTTGAATGCAGGAAAATCAAGAGAAACCCTAGATAGGGTGCGCAAAGAATAGAAATCTAGGCAGATTCGAGTAGCTCTGATACCATGTTATGGTTCGGCCTGCCTTGGAGTTCTGTTTGTCTGAGTTCAATCACGTAGAGAGAGGTAGAAAGGTGGAAGAAAGAGAGAGAGAGAAAAGAAGAAAATCTGGTTCGAACTGGAAGTCAAAGAACATAACCCCCATTCGGCCAGACATGAGCTTTTATTATTGAAATTAATGGAAAAGACATATGTGCCCTTATTTAAGTAAGGAGCACTGGTTCTAACACAACATTACAGATCAACGACCTTAATCTAAGTATAATGACAGAAATACCCTACACTAACACCCTTCAAAGAAAATTTGGTTTAGGCCGGCTCTCCCAAAGATAATGGTTTTTTTTCTAGGAAGTGTACAATGGGAAAGTGAACACTTTAGATAATCTACAAAAGAGAAGACATTTCCTTTGTATTTCACCCAATTGGTATACTCTTTGTAGAGCTCATGAGGAGGATTGTTATCACCTACTAATGTCCTATCCTTTCTTTGTAGAATTGTGGGATTGGCTTTTTTCATTGTTTGGGTGTAGGGGGAACATGCCAGCAAAAGTGTGCATGATCTTTAACCCTTCTACCTTCAGTTGGCCCAAAAAAAGAGGGAGAATTATGTGGAGATGTGCTAGAGCAGCCTTGCTATGGACAATTTGGGAAAAAAGGAATGCTAGAATCTTTCAAGACAAGGAGAGGAGCAGTCAAGATTTGAAGGAGTGTGTAATGAATAGGGCAATCCACTGGCTGAAGACTACGGAACTTTTCCATCACTTTTCCTTTTCAGACTTGTGGAGAAATTGGCTAGCAGTGGCAAGGTGCTCTTCTGGGAAGACTAAGGCATCTACACGATGGACTCCATCGTCTGAAGGTTCAATGAAACTGAATTTTGATGGGAGTAGTCAGGGCAATCTAGGGCGCTTTGGAATGGGAGGGGTCTTGAGAAATGAGGCTAGAGATATTATATTGCTTTATTCAGGTCCTTTGGGATTTGGGGATTCAGTCAAAGCAGAACTATTAGCAGCCATACAAGGAGTGCAACTCGCAAATCAGTTAGGAGTAAGACAGCTTGTTCTAGAAGGGGACTCCAAGGTGGTGGTGAGGTGGTTGCAGAATCCTGAGAAAACTATATGGTGCTATAGAAATGAAGTCAAAAAATTTAAGTGGCTGATAAGGAATATATCTGTTAGTACACATTGGCAGGGAAATCAGCAAATGCTTTGGCTGATGGCTTAGCTAAGAAAGGGACAAATAGGGAAGTTTTGTTTTGGACTCAGCTGTAATGTTCATCTTTTCCTTTTCTTTTCAAGTTTCTTTGTAATTAGTTGAGAAAGGCTACCGCTCATGCCTCTCCACAGGCTGTTGTATGAGATCTTTTTCTTTTGAAGTAATAAAACTATCCTTATTCATAAAAAAAAAAAAAACAGTTTTGATTTTTAGTGATACTACTAACTGAAAGTAGGTCAGTACTAAGTTTAGGAACATGCAAAATTGAAGACAAGGAGATGGCATCAGACAATCTAATGTCTCCCTTGCCAGAAATGGGAACAGGGGAGCCATTAGCAATGGACACTTTGTCTTTGCCAGAGGATAAGCAATAAGTATTAAACAATGAGGATAAGCCAATCATATGGTTAGATGCATTTGAAGTGCCAACTTCACTTCCGAACTGAGTCAGGGCAGCTCAGACAGCAGCTAAGGTGTCCAAGGATGTGGTTCTTGTGCTAGAGGATGAAACACCATCACTAGTAATTTTCACATTGGCATTCCCCTTTTTGTTTCTGAGCTTTGCTGGAATTAGATGAGGATACAACTTCCAACATGTGTTCTCGGTATGCTTCGGTTTCTTGCAATGATTACAAACTAACTCCCTCTTGTCCTCTTTCTTCATATCCCTTTGTCACCCCCAAACTTCGGTTTCACTGCTGCTAGGGCTGATTCCTACCTTTGTCCTACTTTCTTCACTGTGCACTAAGGAATAGGCCTGAGACGGGGTCGCACTCTCTCTGGTGAGAAGTTGCTGTCTCACAATGTCATATTCTAGATTCAGACCAGCTAGGAATTCAAAAACTCTATTGGTTTCAACATGTTTTCTGTATGTTGTGCATCCTTTTGACTTTCCCACTCAATTGTCTCTAGGTGATCAATTTCATGCCACAAAGACTTAAAAGTAAAGAAGTAAACTGAGACTGGTTTCTCTCCCTGCTTAAGATTATTGACTTCACATTTCAGTTCATGGGCCCTAGCAACATTAAGTGGCTGAGAATAGATTTCTCTCATGATGTCCCAAATTTCCTTGGCAGTTTTGGCCCACAAGTAATTTCGGCTAATATGAGACTGCATGGAATTGCACAGCCAAGTCATGACCAGATATTTCTCTTGAACCCATTTGGCATATAATGGGTCTTCCTTGGCTGGTTTCTTTACATCCCCCATCACATAGCCTAATTTCCCTCTACCTCCTATAACCATCATAGCTGATTGGGCCCACTCCAAGTAATTTGATCCATCAAATTTCACTGTGGTAATCTGAAAGGTATTTTCAGTTATGTTTCCAGCCCCCAAAATACCTTCCCCTTGAGCTTTTAACTCAGTTCCTGCCATCTCTACCAAGAATTTATCACAAAGAACTGTTTTTTATGCTGAAACAAAGGTAATTAACACCGTGAAACTGCTAACAGCCAACTTGGAATGCTGAAAACAGGTCTAGTAAACACCCAGAAATTCTGAAACAGGCCTAATAATCCTAAAAAAATCATTACCAACCAATCTGGAATGCTAAAATCTGATCAACTGTTACCCAGAAACTGATAACAATTAGATTAATAGGGTTTAAAAAACAGAGGACAGATCGTGGGTTTGGGAAAACCCTAAAAAAGGTCAGGAGAAATCAGAAAAGAAAAACACACCCGCTCCTTCCAGATCACTTTGATCAGTCTTTGATTGGTGTCGATCTCGAAAAAGGACTGAAACTTACCCAGAAAAGACTGGCCGCCACTTCCAATCCTCAGTCTGAACCCTAATCTTGAATTCCTTTCCTTCCCTCTGATTCTTCCTGATCACCAGACTCTTTTCAAGGCTCTATGATCTCTTGAAAAGCTGCTGCACTCTACCAATGATCTCCAAGAACCAGCCGATTGACAAATCTTGCTAAAACTTCTAACCCTGGGAAGTTCTCATGCAATTGGCCTGATTAGAGTTACATGAGATACCCTAGGTTGGCTCTGATACCAACTTGTCTAGTAGAGACTGTGATCAGTCCTACTCTAGATGAGAATTCAACAAGGAAAACAGAGAATATAAGAGGAAGAAGAGAGAGAGAGAGAGAGAGAGAGAGAGAGAGAAAGAGGAAGAAAGAAGAAAGAAGTCGAAGAGAAAAGAATTCAGAAAAGAGTGTGGGTTAACTTACACATTTCCGCCCCACTCAGCTATTTATATTAAAGATTTAAAAAAGAGCTAACTTACAATATTGCCCTTACTAACATAACTTATCAGCAACTAAAGAAAAAAACTGAAATAACTAACTTGCTGACACTACTAACATGCTAACAGCTAACAAATAGTATGCTAACAGCAACATAAATAAAGACATTATTGCCCTACAACTCTACAGAAATTAAGATGATGTTATCCCTCCTTGTCTTTGAAGCTTCATTTTAGGATTTATGTGATAAGTTTGAAATTTGTTTTGCACTAGCTGCCAACATGGTGTAACTTCTGGTGGGAACTAGCAATGAAGACAAAGCTTCCGTATACAGACTAGCATGTTCATCTGTAGAATACTTTTGAGATTCTAATTCAGCCTTTTCTTTATTATAGTCTAAGAGAGGGTGCCGTCGAAGTGCTTTTTTCCATCATTTTGCTGAGCCATTACAGGACTGCAATGGTATTTTGATATTTCTTGTCACTATCAAATTTAATCCCCATTGTACACCTACACGTTGTTGAAGCCCTTCAATATTACCAGTCTCTCAAGTGTATACCTCTTTCTTTTTCTCAGGGATGTGTGACAACTGTGCATTTGGAACTGAGCTCAATGAAGTGGATGTGACTCGTATGGTGAAACCCTTTTGAGTTTCTGGTTACAAGTACTCTTTGCTTTTCTGAAGATTTTTTATGTACTTTTTTTGGATAGATAACTGATCAAAGGGTTTTCATTACTGAAAAAAGAAACATATAATTGTTTTGTATTCTAGGCTTGAGGGTGTTTTTAGAAACAGCAGAGAGATAATTGCTTTGTATTCTGAACCTATCTGTATAGAGGACTCAACAAGGGCAGAATTATTGGCAGTCCTGCAAGGTTTAAGGCTGGCTTAAGATTGATTCCCAATTGCTTGATGGTGGAAGGGGACTTTTATATGGTGGTGAAATGGCTGAAATTTATATATATGGGTTCTTGGACATTTAGACATGTTATAAGAGAAATTAAATATCTGATAGCTGAACCGAATGCAAGCTTCCATTGGATTCCTAGATCTGTCAACAACTTGGCAGATGACTTGGAAAACAAGAAAAAACCAGAAATCATTTTTTTTAGGATTTGATTCCTTAAAATGGGAATTTGTAGAAACAGAGGTGTGGCTAGCAGGGGCTAAGGTCAAATATAGAGGTGCTTAGGCATTATAATGCAATGTTATCATTCTTTATTTCAATCAATAAAGTTTTCAGCTACTGATAAAAAATGGTATAAGAAATCTAGATGGACTGAAGCAGCTAGTAGAAACCCAGCATACAACCAATGTTGTAAAAACCGACCCAAAGGCCGAACCGTTTTTGCCTTCGGGTCGCGGGTCACCGGTTTGACCGGCCCAGTGTATTAAAAGCGCAAGGCGCAAAAAAGGCGCAAGGGCCATTTTGCGCCTAAGGCGCAAGGTGCAAGGCGAGGTGCACGCCTCGCCTATTATCTAAAATTAAAATACATAAATATAATATGTAAAGCATATTCAAATGAGAATTTAAAAATGAAATCAAACATATAAATCATTTTTTTTGATAAATAACATCAATTTCATTAAAATAATGAATAGACACAAGAAGATCCCCTTAGAGGCGCAAGGAGCAGCCTCTCCAAACAG